TCTCGTTTTTCAGGATCGTTTTTCAGGAAGACAAAGCGATGCAGTTGGGAGGGAGAGAGCAAATTGTTGGGCACCTTGAAGGCTTTCAGCTGATGGATTCCTTGTCAGTTTGTTTGGAGAGGACACTTGATCTCACGGGCAGATGGCCCGGGGAGGGAGTGTAAGGTTTATGTCACGTCTGGGTGACCAGGGCTGCACTCTGCTCAGGGGCTTGGAATTTCCAGTGGGAACATCCATGCCTTGTAATACAGAGTGGTGTCTAATGAACACCACCAAAATATTTTGGTTTTCTGTGTCTTTGAGTGAAAACATGATTTTATTTTCAAATATCTTTGAATGTGCTGCGCACTGAACAGAAGTTTTGCAGCTTGTGAAGATGGAGAAGTAAAGATGCTTTCATGTATTTAGTGTTTATCTGCTGTTAACTATGAAAACTCCATAAATTTTCCTACCATGTTTATTACAAAGCTTTCAAATATGTATTAAATGTGGAAGGTGGTGACAACTTCCATTGGCATCTGCCTGGAAAATCTCGGGCCTTTCCAGACATGCACTAAACCTATTGCTTTCATAATAGCAAAATCTCCCATTTTGTTTGCTTAGAATTAAAGAAAAGGTTGAGAGAAGAACTTGCTGTTCTTGGACATAGGCTAAAGAGGTGCTTTGATTTTATTTTTTTATTAGAAAAGTTAAGAAATACAATCCTTATTTCCCGGACTGAGAAAGATCATAAGAGGCCCTGTGTGTCTGTAAATGTTTTGCATTACACAATGCTCTTCACTCATTAACCAGGTGGAAATTGTAGGGAGGGAATAGAACAGCACATGGAATTTCTTAGAGAAAACACATTAGATCTGAACTCAATTGCAGCACATCAGAAGAGACACATGAGTAGCAGTGATGAATTTGCAGGTTCATCAGAGTTGTGCTGCCTTTCTGAAGGTTTTCATTGGAAATCTTCAGTTGGAAATGGATTATTAAACAGGTTGGTGGTTGTTTTTTGCAGTGGATGTTCTGGGTGCAGGCATTCAGCCTCAGCTTTATTTGGGGTTTTTTGGGGTGGAGAAGCACTGGGGGAGCTCAGCTGGCAGTGAAACACGGGGTGCAGGGTTTGCAGCAGCCAGTCCCTGCTGCCAGGCTGTAATCTGGGCATAATGGAAACCCTGAGCTCTGCACTGGCACTGCCAGCCCCGTGACAAACGTGCCAGCTGAGCTGTGTCAGGCACAGCAGAATGGCTTTGTGTATCTTGTCAGGAGATTTGTTCCTCGGGATAAAATATGGGACCTGCAAGTAACACACAGGCAAACATTAACATGCTTGTTCCTTGTTCTGCCCGGGTTATTTATAGCTCCCTGTGTACACGCAGGATGCTGCAGCATCTAATGCATTTCATCAAATTATCAGATGGTATTAGGAGGCCTCGTGCTGGGGCTGGTCAATAGCCATGGAAACCACTCCATAAAACAGAACCGTGTCTGTCAGCACCGAGAGCCCCACAAGCCGTGGGATTTCCTAAAGCTGCTTCACAGCACTCATTATCCACAGCACTTTTTAAATTGTGGCACAGTTTGTCTTCAGTGAGCAGCACAAACAATAATGCTGACAGAATCCTGTCATAAGCAATCTTTTAAAGTTGAACAGAAGTGGTAAAATTGAAATGTTTGTCCTAAAAATCCAAATTATGTACTTGTAAAAATGAAACCATTGTGCTCCAGAGCCACTTGCACTTCTTACCCGAACTTCTCCATAGGTCTGAGCCTCGTTATTCCCCCAGCCCTGTGTTTGAGGCTGTTGGAGCTTGGCAGCTGTTGCTCTCAGGTGCCTCCTGTGAGCAGTGCAGCATCTCCTGCAGCACTGACACAGGGACGTGGAATTTGGTGCATGTCATTTGTGCAGGGGAGAGCAAATTCAATCAGTGTCAGGCAGTCTGCTTTGTGAGACACTGGGGAGCAACAGGTCACCTCTGATTTGGTGTGCAGCTATTTCTTCTTTTATTTTTAAAGCCATTTTGAGGTCTCTGTTGGGCTTGGCTTGGAGAAAAGGAGTAGCTGTTCTTGCTGCAGGGAGAATGGGGCATGATGCTGAATTAATGGAAGACCAGAATAGGAAGGAAAATCTGAAAATGGTTTTTTAAAAAGTATTGTTAAGCTTTAGAATTTCTGCCCGAGTTTCTGAAATTATTTTTTGTGTGCTTTGTTGTTATTTGTAGATTAAGAAGTGTCTCTCTCTCACCTTTCCAAGAGGCACAGAGCTCCTTTGTAGCTGGGTATCTCACAGTGTCTCAGTGGCCCTGGGATAGTTCTGTACATCAGTAAAGGTGACAGCAGAACTGACCAGAAGGATTGACTTCATTCCTACTTGGAAATTTGGAACAGCATTCCAAGGGCCCTCTAATTCTGTTATTCAGATGGGCTCTGTGCTAGGCTTGCATTTCCAGGAGGGACTTCTGACATGCCATGGGGTCAAAAGGAAAACAGTTTGTCATAGGTTTTATTAATAGAGTTGAGTCACAACCCAAACCAAATATAACATAGTTTGGTTAAAAGGAGTCTTAAAAGATAAATTAAACGTTTCCCTAAGAATTCAAGAGCACCATAGTAAGTCTTGGGCAAAATAAGGAATAGGAATTGGGTGTTCTCGTTTAGATTGAGCTCTCCTATTTCCCGAGCTGTTCCATCATTGGCTGCAGTGTTCCAGCTCTGGTTTCTCCTTATTCCCCACAGCTTTTTCAGTCACCTTTAGCTGTGTGTGCTGTGAAGTGATGCTGCACAGGCAGTGTCCCTCTGAACCGGCCCGGGAGGCAGAGCAGGGACTGAGAGCATCCTGCAGTTCCCTTTGCAGTGCCTGCTGTCGGTGTTTCTCCTTTCCATCCTTTGTGAATTCCTGCACAGGGGGAATTGGGATGTTGGGAGTGGTGTTGGGCTGTGTTTGTCACTGTTGCTGCCACCTTCTCTTGCCCAGAACACCGGCCAGAGAGATCTGGTGCCAGGGGAGTGACCCACCCCAGCATAATGAGAATTCCTGGGGAAAATTCACCTGGTAAAAATGAGTATGTGAGTGCTTTAGGGACCAGCTGTACTCTGTGGGCACTCACTGTCCTGCTCTGCAGGTACTTGGGTGAGTTTTCCTGTGTCTGGGGGCTGGTACCTTGCTTTCAATAAAATTCTCCGTGTTTGGGAGCTCAGACACCCCTTAAACCTGGCTGTTGTGTTGGCTGGTTTGGAAGGAGCAGGTGGGTGAGAGTAAATCACACACTGGAAGGGACTGTCATCTCCAAGCCTTTACAACCTGTGCTTAATTCTCCTCTCCGTGCCCCCGGGCACGTTCCTGGCCGGCTCTGCAGTCTTGCTGGTTTTGAGGGTCAGGGTTAGGTGAGGATAGGACAGATCCCAGTGGGAGCAAACCTGCAGGATGTGAGCAGGGGATTCCAGAGAGGCTCTTCCTTCACACCCAGGGTGGCGGTGGGAGCTGCTGGGGTGCTCAGAGCTCTGTTTGAGCAGCGAATTTATGAATTTAACCTCTCTGGGAGTCCTCCTGCCCTTCACAACATGGAACTCTGATCACTGCCCACCTCCTTCCAGCAGATGTTTGCAAAAAGATGTGATCCAAAATAGATTAAGCCAACTTGAGGCTCACTTCTCTTTAGGGAATTATAAAATCTCATCTCCCTCCCTTCCCTGGAATAGCAGGGCCCATGTACTCAGCATCCATTATCTTTTTTGTAGACAGAATTTATTATTTACTCGTTGCTTATACCTGTACACAGTGTTTATAGGAAAGGAGAAGGCCTTTTTTTTCGCTTGTTTCTTTTTAGGTAATTACGAATTCTCATTTCCCTCCTTTCCCTGGAATAGTAGGGCCCACAATACTCAACATCCCCTACCGGTTTTGCAGGCAGAAATCTGCTATTTGCTCGTTGTTTATACCCATGTACGGTGTTGATAGGCAAGGAAAAAAAAAATAATTTTATTTTGGTGTTCATCGGAAAGGAAGAAGTCCTTCTCTAGAACGTCCCTTGCAGAGAGAGGCACTTTGTTTTTTTAGCCTTAAATCTCCCGGTGCTGGTTCGCGGTGGGGATGGTGAAGGGGATGGTGAGGGGATGGTGAAGGGGATGGTGAAGGGGATGGTGAGGGGATGGTGAAGGGGATGGTGAAGGGATGGTGAGGGGATGGTGAAGGGCAGGTTCTGGTGCTCGCCGGCCGCGGCTGGAGCGAGGGAAGGCGGCGGGGAGAGGACGAGAACGAGCAGAGGAGCGAGGAGCGAGCGGTGCCGGCGCTGCTGAGGAGCTGCTGAGGAGCAGCGCCGGAGCCCGGAGCTGCCGGGGGCGGTGTCGGGGCCGAGGGCCGAGCCCGGCGGGCGGAGGAGGCGGCGGGGCAGGGGCCGGGGCCGGGCCCGGGCCCGCGGCTGAGGGGGGCCGGCGATCCAGGCCGCCTTTTGCGGCGCGCCCCGCGGAGCCGCCCAGCCCCGCCGCCATCACACGCTGGGCGCCGCCGCCGCCGCCGCCTCCGCCCGGCCCTGCGCGGCTGCTCCGGGGCTCGGCTCCGCTCGGCCCCCGCTGCCTTGCCCGGCCCCCGCCGCCTGCACGGCCCCCGGCCCCGCCGAGGAACGCGGGGGCTGCGAGCTTTAACCCCTGCCGCACCTGCCCGGCGCCCCGAGCCCGGCGCTGCGCATTGCCCCGGCCCCGAGCGGCTCCGGCCCCGGCACCGGCTGTCCTGGAGCTCGGAACGCTGCGAGTTGGAGCATTATTATTATCCGGACGTGGAAGGGGGATGCGTTTGGGGCTTTTTCGGTGCCTTTCCCCAGCCTTTTCCCCCGTTCGCAGCCGTGTAGGTGCGTTCGCTTCCCCGGCAGACCTCGGGCTCCCGGCGCCGCTCGGCTCCGCTGCCGATTCACAGCAGCCGTTTGGGGGATTTTTTAATCTTTTTTTTTTTTTTTTTTTTTTTTTACTTTTTTTTTTTGCTGCTGCTGACACGCTGTTTTTGTTATCTTTTATCACAGAAGCGGTTTATTAAGGGGTTGAGGCAGTACGGCAAGAACTTCTTCAGAATCCGAAAGGAGTTGCTTCCCAATAAGGAGACCGTAAGTACATTCGGACTTTATGTAATTCGCTTTTCCTCTCGCTGCTTCGCTGTTTGATCTTGCGAAACTCTTTGCTTTTTGCCCCGAATTCTCCTCAGATAAACGGAAGAGAAATCCACAAGGCAGCTGCTGATTTTTAGTGCAGTTTTTAGGTCTCGGGGTATCGAAAGATGTTACATAAAAATAATCGTCATGGCTGGACGGAGCCACTGAGCCTGGCTGAAGTGTATTTATGGAGACCGAATCTAATTTTAAATTCTGACATTATGACGGGATAATACACTTGGTGTCACACGGTCGGGCTCGAGTGGCGTCGGGTAATTAATTAAAGAAAACCTAAACCAAAAGCAGATCAGATGGGGTCGGGCAGCCCGAGGTGCGCTGCGCCGTGACCCGCACGGTGCCGGGCTCTGCTTAACCCTTCCCCTGCCCTAAACTCGTGTGTGGGGATGGATCCGCGATCTCTGAGCTGCCCAGGGTTATGTAACCCTTCAATAACCCGATATTGCCCCCCAAATTGCCGGCAGGGCTCCGGGGACACGGGCACGGAGCACTGGGGCACTCCTGCAGAGGAGACAGGCTCTGGGACGCCTCGGGAGCCCGGACACTTCTTCATTTGTCTCAGAACAGCCTCGGTTTGTGTCCTGCAGGTGTCCTTTAAGTGCCCCGAGGCTTTGGGAAAGTGGTTTCGTTTTTGTTCTGGATTTACAGTGGATTTACTCCATGAAAATGGAGTTGGGCTATTTTCTAGCAGTGTATTAGTGGTATGGAAAACACTGATTTAAAGCATCGCAGAGCGTTTTAGACTTTTGTAGGTGTGGAGTCTGGATGTGCACTGGGGGAAGAGCATTGCTGTAATAATATTTAAAAAACCTCTCAGTTTCTGTAGGATGATTCCATTCTCCTCCAGAAGGTTCTTGTGAGACAGTGCTGTGATAGCACAAATCTTTGGGTGGTAAATAGTAACACTGTGTGAGTTAAAAAGGAAGGGGAGGATGAGACAATTACAAGTTCAGTCATTCTGAGAAAGGAAACTCAAAAAATTACTGCTCAAGTGTTGGTGGACTCGAGGATTCTGTGGGATTTTGAGGCGTGGAGGCCCAGTGCTGGAAAGGTGACAGCTGGGAAGGAATGCTGGAATAGCATGGATCTTATCAGCATCTGACAAACCTAGCACACATCGTGCCTTTCCTCCACAATATCTCCTGAAATGGATTTAGAGCAGATCAGTGTTTGCTGCTAGAAGAGAATTCTGCTGATGGTGAAGTTGCTGAGGGGCAAAAGTCCTCTTCTGAGTTTGAATTACAGCAAGTAATATATAGTATATTGTGTTTTTATAACCTGAAATTTAGATTTTAAATATGAAATGGGGGTGGTTGTGATGGAGAAAAATATTTCGCAGGGGGGAAGAAAAGAATAAACCCTGAAAAGTGGAGAGCTGGGGGCAGGTGCCTGCCCCTGGTTGTGCTGCTTAACTTCTTACACTGGAGCTTGGATATCGGGCTTAGGGTTTTTGTAAAAGTTTGGCAGGTGGTGTTAAACCTCACACAAGGTCTCTTCTTTCAAGTGTTATATTTTTGTTTCGTTAGGTCTCATTTTTTACTACAGAGAAGACTAAATATTAAGTCTGAGCTGTGGGAAGTATCGTGTTGATGGGTTTGGGCTCAGGGTTTTTTTTTAGCCCCTGTGGTAACTGATCTACAAATAACCTTTGACCTACAACGGGTTGTTTATAATCTCCGCTTCCTATTTTTGCCCACAGGCCTCACTTCTGCTTTCTTTAATTCCCAACCTTTTTCAGCCCAAATTTACAGCCCTTTTGCTGTAGAAAGACATTGCAGCATAAAGGCTGCAGTAAATATTTGACTGTCCGGTTTTGCTTCTGTTCCTTAAAGTGGAATAATGAGTAATGTAAATGACAAGGCTGGGGATTAATTTGTCTGCATTTTTTCATCACCAGAATAATTTCAGATACTTTGCCTGCCATTTTTCTATTGCAGTGTGGAGTAACCCTGTAGCAATTCCAGAAACACCTGAAAAAGGCTTTATTCTCCTGTTCAGCTTCCATATTTACATCAGTGAAACTCCAAAAAAGTTGTTATATGGACATTAAAGCAACTTCCAGGTACTTAAAGATGTGTCAGGGGCACTCTTGGAGTTTGGACATCTGATTTATTAAGAGTTTTCCTTCCTGGTCACTGAAAATTGTGGGGAAGGGACCCAGGGGGTTTTGCCTCTGCAATCCCCACTTAAAAGTTAAATCTCCTTATTACCATGATTTCTGTAAAATGTGTCCTTTCCTAGACCCTTCACTGGGGGAAAATTCTCCCTGATGTCTCCTTAAAGCCTATGGCTGGGACATGGAAACCGTGGAAGAAAAGGAATGCAGCAGAAATTCAGAATTCTTGTAGAGACCAGGCCTATTTTATGTTAAATCAAGCTGGGGCTGCTGTGCAGAAAGTCAGGCTGTGGAGGTGAACGTGACATTTTATTTCTTTTCTTTGGGAAGGTGTAAAGTGGCCGTGGTGAGAGATGAGAATCAGGCCATGCTGTACTGAGCTTTCACAAGTGTGTTAAGGAATGTCCTATTTGAGTTGTGCCTTGGCTTTTTTTCCCCTCCGTAGTTAGTGTGCAATATCTTTGGAGAAAACCCTGGATTTATTAATGTGGGCTTAAACTAGTTTAACATAGTTTTCCAACAATTTTTAAATTACTTCTTCTAAATGAGTAATCCTCGAGAAAAGAGCTCGGTGAAAGAGAATGTTTATTCCATATCTAAGGTGTGTTTGTTTGGGTCTTCACTCCGCTGGTTTATTTCGCATTTCCAGTTTATTTCCATGTTCCCGGTGGACGTGGGAGTAAAGAACTGCAATGGATCAAGGAATGTGCTGCTTTAATGTTGGATCAGTGCTAACCTGCTCGTACTCTGGAGGAAGAGTGCCTCTGTGCAGATGAGCCATGAGATTTTTAAATAAAACTTCTGAAACTTCCTTGGGTTTCCAGTGAACTGTCTGAAATGCAGTTCTCCTCTGTTTCCATGTAGCTTTTTCCCTTTTATCTTCCCTGGGTGGTTTCCCCTTCGTTCCCCTGGCACAGCTGATGAGCTGCCCTGCTCTCCTTTGGTTCCTGCTTAGCAGCATTTCTGATTCCTCTGCATGGCAAGGAGTAAATTTTGGAGGCATTTCAGTGGCACGAATGGTTTTCAATAATTACTTTCATTTAAATTCCCATGTTGTGAGAATGAAAGGTGCACAGCTGGCAACAGTTTTCTTAACTATCTGGTTTGGCTTTAAATGTGGTTTTATTCCCCTGCCATCCACCCATTTTGTGATAATTTGCTAAAACTTGGTGATAATACAGGATTTTCCAAGTATTTAACATTCTGCTCTGAATTCTTGACATGATTACACTGAGCTACTTGAATTTGAGAGTTTTAGAAGCACCAGCATTGTGATAGGCCCGAGATAAAGGTACTTGCATGCCTCCAAGGCTGGGGATTGCCTTTCTGTGTTCTTGGGAACAGGGTTACTCTGTGTTGGCTACACAGGAGGTAAATAGAAACAGGGGATGGAGGGGAGCTCCTGCTCCTGCCAAGTCCTGGTGTCACCTTGCTGGGTTCCAGAGCTGGCTCCTGCTCTCTCACAAACTTCTGGGAGCTTCTGGGAGCCTCAGGCTGCACTTGCAGTTTGTTTGAGCTGTTCAAGGCCACGGCTCCAGCAAGAACGGGATTGTTTCCCCGTGGCTGGGGTTCCTGCAGCCTGCTTTGGGGCAGGGCTGTTGTCTGAGCAGTGGGACTCCAGCCCCCAGAGCTGGGGATGTGTGTGCCTGTCCCTTGGCAGCCTTCCCTAGGTTCACGTCCTGTAATCCTGCCAGACTGTCGTGCCCTTTGCTGCAGCTGAACGGAGATTTTAGAGCCCCCTCGTCCCTCCTGGGGATGGACCTGAGCACTGCGGGTCGTTGTGGAGCTGGGCTGGCAGCTCTGGGGATGCTGTGGGGCTCTGCAGAGGCTCCTGTGTCCCCCCAGGACAGATGCTGGGCATCCACGGCCCCCGTGCCCCTCTCTCCTCCTGGCAGCAGGACAGTGGATCTTTGTGCAGGCACGCAGACTGCAGGCTAATTTTGGGTTGAATTTCCCTGTTGAGCACATAGGTATCTGTGGTGTGTGTGATTTTTGGTTTGGCTGCTGAGCAAGGGATGACAGAGTGCAATCGAAAGATCTTGCCTCTGGGTGGATGCTCCTTTATTTAGCTCTAAAGCACAGAGTAAACAGGAGTTAGGAATATTGGCTGTTTCCTAACACTGAAATACCTGCAGTGTGTTGTATTTATGCACATAAGAACTAAATATGCATCATTTCTTCAGGAAAAATGGTCTCTCTTCTGATAGTAAAATCTTCCTCTTCAAATTAAATGCTGCTGGGACTTAGCTCAGAGACTAAATAAGCTGTGCTCTGTTAGTGTTAGGAGGCAAAACGAGTGCAGTGTGAGCTTTCAGCATAAACTTCTGTTTAATTTTAGGTTGGGGTTTAGATAAACAATTTTATTCTTGCCTCATTAATGCTTAATCTTGTGTTACATAATACACAATATTGGCTTCCTGAGTAGCTCTTAAATATAGTGCAAATGTGTAGTAGCTGAAAGGTCAGTGCAGTTACCATATGTGTGGGCTGGCAAGGTGTGTGTCCCCTGTGAGGACAGACGGAGCCCTCCCCATGTCACTCCTGCTGGCAGCCAGCAGCCCCAGGAATATTTGTGCAAGGCTCTCCTGAGCATCTGAAAGGTAGAGCTGCTCCCTCGACACAATTGTTCAAATAGCAGAGTGCCTTTGATCAAAGGAGGGGGATAATTAGATGAATATCTCTTGGTCTGTTGGTATAAAGTGATTACTTAGCCCTACATTGGCTTTTTAATATTTGCATTTAGCGGTGAGCCTTGTTTGTAGCAGGAGCTGCATTGTGGCTGTGGCGTGGGTTTTATCCCTGCTCTGCTCTCCCCAAGGAA